TCCTCTTTTGGGGCGTACATTGTTTACCCAGAGGTGGACGTGAAGGGTAGAAAACGGGAAGAACGGGATCACACGTTTTATAAATGGCAATCAAACGAACAGCACTCATATATTAAAAGCAAAAAAGTGGGAAATCTGGATCTCGTTTTAAAATATCCTAGATCCCCCACTGTCAACGTACAACGTATATACCATTCATGTCTAGTAGGTTGCGTATCAGCTCTATTACTTGTTGATCACTGAACAGTTACACAAGTACAGTTGTATTATATTATTATGGGATCCTGCGTCGCGCCTCACTGGCTGCGCCATTACAACTTTATCTCTCCTTAAGTTTTCGAATTATATTTCTTGATTTTTGTTTCTTAAGCTATATTTTAGTATTGACAACTTTCCTAAGTTGCTAAACTAGTGAATCATGCGATTATTTTACTCAAGCATCGCTCTCTGGAATATTTTTTCCATGATTAATGGAATACCACGTCTTGAGCCGACTGTTTGGAAGAACTTGAAAGCTGCTGGTATCGCTAAACTTGCTTCTCGACGTGGCTGTAGAGCTGGAGCTAAAAAACCTAGAGCTATAAAAGTGATATGTGGCTATGGAAACACTTGATAACCTTTCTCGGTCTTGAACACACTGACCTCCTGAAGTGTAAGCAATTTTAGCAGGTTTCTTGATAAAGAAGATTTCATTTTCGTTGAATAATCCAAGACAAAATCGATATGTGAGAATATACGAGTGTACTTCAGGTCCTCATGAAACGCGAAAGATATTAATTCAGATCTCTCTTGTTATTGACAAATCAGCAAACCTTATGATATATCAATAGATCCACTGGATCTATACTACCTTTATGTTTGTAACTTATTAGTGCATGCTCTTCATGGACGTATTAGTACAAATCACAAACACACGAGGTTTACCTTCAAGTTGAATCTTCTGTAGATCGAAGTGTTCGCTTCTCCTGTCGTCACGTAACGCTTTTTCTCAATGCAAAATAGCAGTAATTCTTTGGGGGGTGGGGGTTGTGCAATACCAATTCATAATGTGGTAAGATACTTCAACCTTTCATTTGTTTATCTAATTGTAACATGTTAGTCAGTCCTGATGTTTGCTCGACGAGTCACGAAAGCTTGACAAATAAAATTTTGAAAGGTATTTTGCAACACAATCAGGCCCGTAGGCTGCCTCACCAATGGGGGGAGGTGGGGGCGTTCGTTTTTTCATAATGCAGACCTAAATTAAATGTTTAACTAAAATTAGTTCAATGCACAGGTATAGCGTGTACGAACTGGGTTTGCGGTTCGAACTATTTGAAATACAACATTTGTACAATGATTGACATTTTTCCATCTTATCAATTAATTCCGTCTTACTATATGTTCATTCTATGACGAGGTTTTTGCGTGTTTGTAAAAAAATATATTGAGAGATTTTAAAAAAATGCTAGAATTAATGAAATGTAATTGCCATAGTTCGTGTTTTAGTCCCATACAAACTAAATGGCTGTGAATGCTATTTCTGTTTATCTGAGTTGCACCAAGCATTGGAAATGTATATAAAACTGGTAAGGTCAAACTGGAGATTTTTGCTGCGATTTTTCTAACGATTTTCAAAAATAACATAGATTTTGTCTTATCCTTGTGAAAAGACGTTTAGTTAGCTCATTTCGATGATGCACTGAATAAATCTTTACAAGGGTTAATTCTTTAACGTTGTTCTTTAGGATCAAATGGCCGGTATACCAATGGTATACCGTTCTTGAAGTAGGTTTTAGTGATGACACAGATATATAATGATAAAGTATTTACGTAGGATAGTAATATACGCTAAATTGTGGCGCAACGCCACTTGA